GGTTAATAAAAAGAAAAAAGAAAACTTATTATCATCACCACACTATTCCTGTTGCAAGCATAATAATTAGATGGAAAAGTAACAAAATAATATACTCATGGAAAAACTCCATGGGCCTAGAACTTAGTTACAAAGGAAAGCTAACACATCAGATCCCATTTCCCAAACCATAAACAATAAAACCTAACAGATCTATCTAAACTTTATCCTACTTACAGACTGTGACGGGTATTTTCTTATAGGGAGACATCCTGTCCCCTCCAAAAGCTGGAGAGAAAAAAAAAACTACCCAGAGACAAAGGAGGGAAACCCAAAAATTCCTTTGTCCTAGTTTGAGATTTCTACCTACATTCCTATTGGCTAACTCTACCTGAGTTAGGTATAGTTAACCCCTTAGTCCCCAGGCTTCTGGCTAACCCTCATGATCATTACACCTATTTTAACTTAAAATAAGAAACAATTAAGACATCCCAATATCCTTCTATTCAGTGAATCCTACCATGGGCCCTCTTTACTGATTTCATTTTCAAGTAAAGCTATCACTCCGTTTTTATATCACAGATCTTTTATTAGTCTTGAAAACTCTATAGATGCCTTTAAGAGATAGTTTGTATTTGTTGTTGTTGTTGTTGTTCTAAAGGTAAACTAGGGACACCGATCTAGTGTTATTTTTACTTCTTTTATTCAAATAATTATAATGGATTTAAAGCAGTGATGGGCTTCTTCAGCTCAGTGGGCCGCAGCAGCCGGTGTCCTCCTGCAGTCCGCAGGTCCCCTATCTGCCCCTCTTTCCCATGCACCTTTTGTGCACTGGTGGACAGGAGCCCTGCACTTCCTACTCTCAGCACTTCTGAAGCTCCATGACTCATGCTCCATCCCTGCTCCTTCCCCACCCTCCCAGAGCTTGAACAGCCATGCATCAGCTGGGGAGGAGTAGGAAGTCCAGGGCTCCAGTGCCCCAGTGTGTGAGGGAGGGAGACAGACAGGAGGTCTGTGGGCTAAAGGCGGTGCCCCAGTCGGCCACATGCGGCCCATGGGTCTCAGATAGCTTTTAAATGAATGGTGGGCAAACATCCATTGTTTAACCTCATACAAAAGATAAAATACCAGCATGACGCCTCTTACTTGTGAGACGTAGTTTTTGTGAAAAGAAAATAAATCTCAGAATAGTAATTTATTCAAGTAAAATAAAAAAAACGAATTCTAATAGGATTACCTTTTAAATCAAAACTGTGACTCTCCTAACACACTCTCTGCTACAAACTGGCTTATCATAAAATATCCCATCCAACTGACCATATTTTATGCAGCACTGAAAAGCAGACCCCTATTTAAATCTGGCAGTCTAACCAACAGGCATACAATGAGTCTACATGTCTTTACAGAACATGGATTTGTAAGCAGCATATCAATTCACTGGACTTTCCCTGCAGCAAGGAGGTGCACCATCCAGAACTGAAGTGAACTGGGGCGGGCCCCAGAAGGGATACATCCTATATGAGGGGAGGCAGTGTGTGTGTCTTGGAAATCCTGCCAAGGAAGAACGGTTGCATACAGATGTCAGAAGACCATAGGAGCCTTGCAAACACCAGCTACTTCACTATATCTCCACTCTGTATAGCCTCCAGTGGCCTTGGGGAGGCCACCTTCCCAGCCAGCACCACTGATTTTTCAGACTGCAGTGAAAAACAAGGGGTGGAGTAATCTTGCCCTCCTGCAACCCACATCCTCAGATAGAATTGGAACTGTTAGGAATACTACATCATTAAGTATCAGAGGGATAGCTGGTTTAGTCTGGATCTGCAAAAGTGAGTCCTGTGGCACCTTATAGACTAACAGATGTATTGGAGCATAAGCATAAGGTTTCGTGGGCAAAGACCCATTTCGTCAGATTGACGAAGTGGGTCTTTGCCCATGAAAGTTTATGCTTATGCTCCAATACATCTGTTAATCTATAAGGTGCCACAGGACTCCTTGTCACTACATCATTAAGTAACACAGACCTGGATCTGGCCTCTTGTCATTTAGTACTTTTTATGATCTGAGCACTTCCACAAATATTGCTAAAAATTTGCTTAACTTGTTCAATCTAGCAGCTGTCATCTCATAGGTATTTTTTTTAAATCAGAATTATTAAGAACATCCAGCTGAATATAGAGATCTGTATTTAGGATTCATAGTAGAGAGGGGGAAACATTAGTAAAACTGCATTTTTATAACATGTTTGTATTAGCACTTAGTCACTGATGACGGAAGATGCTCAGAACACTTCCAAACTGATTTTGCTTCCTTAAACACATTTTTAAAATATTGCTGCAATATAACAGCAGCAATAACGAAGGAACCACTTTCCTCTAAAGTATGGTCATAATCTAAGTAAATGGTCTATAACAGAAGACTTGCTTTGCCGTTGGCACCCAAACACTGCCTTCTAAGTGAAGTCACATTGCATCAGACAGCTTCTGTATTCCATTTTTGTTAAATTGCACACTGAAGAAATGACGTATGTTCACACAAAGAACAGATGATGCAGCAGAAGGAAAAGTTGTAGGTGCTCTGCACCGTGACTCAAAATTTCAGCAGGTTGTCACATATTCTTATCTATTTAAATGCCTTTTTCAACTGAACTTTACAAATTACTATTACAAACCAAAGAGGCTGAATTTTGTTTTAAACCAGAAGACAATTCAGAATCACTATGAACATATTAGCTAGTTAAAAACAAATCCTATTATTGCTTCCCAAAATTCACATATAATAGCTCAGTTTCATTATAAACAGATTCACCAAATCATTTATCCAGCATAAAATTCAAGTTTACTCTACTCATAAATACATACTGTTCATGAAAAAAAAAATCAATCAAAAAGGTTAGATTCTGGATAACCTTACATTAAGTAGTCATTTACTACTCAGTTATTTCTACTGCAAATAACAAGGACTAAGGTATGACCCAATGTGGGCCAGAGGATCAGAATCCAGCCTATGGTTTGTTTTTAATAAAGGTTTTAATAAAGATTTGGACTTGCAAAGTACATGCCTTACCTGTAAATAAAGCTGGCGGCCACATGCAGCTTCATTGAACAGGTCCTAGATTTCTTAGCTGTGATTCTATCTAATTATGAAACCTCTCCAAACCAGGAGCGAATTTCACCCATAAGCAACAATATTATTATGTACAGAGCTGTTGGGTTACAAAGGGTGTTACTATGGTCTATTCTAATTATTAACAGGAATCAGGCCCCCCCAACAGAGCCTGGGGGAGGCAAAAGGGGACAAATGCCCCAGGGCCTGGCAATTTAAAGGGTCCTCGAGCTCCCAGCCACCACTGCTGCTACTACAGCAGCAGCCAGACTCCTCGGAGGCACACTCCAGATGGTACTGGGTGTGTGTGTGCACGGTATAGGTAGTACTGAGGGCCAGCCAGGTTCCAGTGCTGGTCCTTCCCCCAGTGTCCAGTGCTTCTAACAGAGAGCAGGGCTGAAGCACAGGGGCTTTGTCTGCCTGGCACACCTGCTGGGATGTGGGGTGAGGGTGTGCCTACTTTTCTGGGGCCCCTCAATTAGAGAGGGCCCTTAGACACTTGCCCTGTTGGCCTAGTAGCTAACCTGCCACTGCACAGAGAGACCCCTTTGTCCATGAATTCTTAGCTCTCTTCATGTTCTTTGCTGTAGGCACCCATAGGGACAACAAGAATGACTCGGTTGGTTAACCACGTTTTAGAATGAAAAGCTCGATCAGGCGAAAACAAGTCTGTGACCTTCAGTTAAAGAGATGGATACTGCAAAGGCTTCTCTCACAGAACTTTTTATGAAGTGCTTCAGAAAGAGAAGTCTTAGTGGGTAGCAATGTTAGTCTACATCTGCAAATGTTAGTCTATATCCTGTGGCACCTTAGGGACTAACAGATTTATTAGGGCATAAGCTTTACCCACAGATCTGTTAGTCTTTAAGGTGTCACCATACTTCTTGTTCTTCCAGAAAGAGAATTAGAGATCTGTATTCACATGGCTTGTACAGTTTGGTCCAAAGTACTGGAAAGTGACAGTTTCGTTGGCAATAAACTATTGCAAAAAGTTTTACAACCTAAACCAAGGCAAGAACATTTTCTAAAGTCTGTTTTTATAGCTTTTCCCTGACTTCGCATATAGTAAGCAAATTGTTCTCTGCATTTCCTGTGTGTTTTCAATCTGGCTATTTATAAAACAATTAACCTGTAGGAATGGCCTTTATGCTAACGTTAAAAATTGCTTACTCTAGGTTTAGAAAAATATTTTTATCTTTTGAAAAATGCATTAAATACCTTGAAAATATTGTGAACTTAACCAAAAGGGAGATAATCGTTATAAATATGGAGAGTGTTGGCTGATGCATAGTATATGAAAGATGGAAGCAATATAGTCCTGAGATTTAGACAATTTATAGTCAGATGGTGAGAGTGCAAAGCTACTCAGGAAAATATGCCAGGTTGAAAAAACACTATTTTCATGCTTTCCTGACACAGGGCATCTTTGCAGTAAACTATCCCCATGGATTCTTTCTACCAGAATAAACAGAACATATTTTATTTTTACAAATAAAATACCTGCCAAAATTAGCTAAGAGCTGGATTCTTTGGCAGCTTCATTTATCCAGTTCTCCTAAGCTAAAATTGACAAACTTGAAGCAATGACTTGCCATGGAGTTACTTTTCTGACCTTACTTTTGCTGTTTTCTTGTTTCTAGGGAAACTCACAAAGCTAAAGAAAGAAAATCTCTTTTTAACCTTTATTTTCACATTTAGTGTAACAATTAACCCTTGATTTTAGACAAACTGAAGAGCAAATGTAATTCAGAATTAGAATCATATTGATTTAAGATATACATCTTTATTGACCACAACTGCAGAAACAACTGATTGAAAGAACAAATCATTAAGTGAATTGCAAAACTCTGCATTGATTTCCCTATGCTGCTTTGCACTTTACCAAGCTATTTCATGTAAATAAACCATGTAGATACCTTGAGCACTGTACTTTCACTGCATTTTCTTTAGGTTCTTTGGTCATCCAAAGTTCATTTCTTCAAGAAAGAAAATGGAGCTAAATCTTGCCTTCCATTAACCTTCAAAGAAAAACAACAAATAGTCAAGCAAGTTTAGATTTTTCTCTAAAGTAAAATATATGCATAAGGGTCACCAAAATGCATACTTCTTTTATATGCAATATGATGTCACAGCAAGTAACAAAAACATTTAATCAGGCTTAATGACATAGTGAGAATATTAAAAGAGAGAAGCAATATAATTAACCACAGAAGAAGCAGAATTTAATTAAACAGTAATGTTGTTACTGCAGGCACACTTCACTAAGGACTAGCGTATATCTTCAGGCCCAGCCCTGAGTAAGAAGCAATTTATACCCACCCTCGGAATGGCGCCAGGACACACAATGCTCAGAATCCATTTCTTTTTCCACAGGTGGGTAGGCAAGCTATGGCAGCCCTTTAAGAAGGTGCAGTGTTGTTGATCACATCTGGCCAGCTACTCAAACCAGAAAGAAGGAGAACCATGGTTCTGTCCTCTTCCTACTTCTTTCAGTCCAATTTCCCCATCCCCCACTTGCTTGCAGTGGGGAGTATTTGGAGAGTGATGTCTGTGCTTCATGGCAGACCAGAGATCTTACTCCTCCTCACGTCCCAACTTAGCTACCTAGTTTAAGGATATGGTCATGTCCTAATTGATTGTCTCACAATACCTTTATGAGGTTATTATGGTGAAACACAGAGTTTAAGTTTATTATTATCTGAAACACAGAGTTTAAGTGAAATACCCTAGACCAGATCCAATTGCATCATATGGCTTGGCTATAAACAAAGGATTGTGTGATGTGTCCTGAATGGAAGCATACAATCAGATCTGGTTCCAATCCCACAGACAGAGACAAATACCTACAAGATCTTTATCGTGCATTCTTAAAACTTAAATACCCAAGTGAAAAACAGACTGACCGAGCAAGATGCGTACCCAGAAGTCACTTGCTTCAAGACAGATCCAACAAGGAGAATAACAGAACCACCACTGGATATCACCTACAATCCCCAGATAAATCCCCTCTAGCAGTTCACTGACAAGCCACAGCCTATCCTTGAAAATGATCCCTCAGTCTCAGGGACACTGGGACACAGGCCAGTTCTCACCTACAGATAGCCCCTCAACCTAAAGCAAATACTTACCAGCAGCCATACGCTATACCGCAGAAACACTCAACCAGAAACCTATCCCTGCAACAAATCCCATGGCCAACTGTTCACACATCTACACAAGCGACATCATCACAGGACCCAACCAGATAAATCACACCATCAGGGGCTCAGACAGCAGCACATCCACTAATGTGATATATGCCATCAAATGCCAGCAATGTCCCTCTACCATGTATATTGGTCAAACCAGACAGTCTCTGTGCCAAAGGATAAATGGACACAAATCAGACATCAGGAATGGTAACACATATAAACCTGTAGAGGAACATTTCAATATCCCTGGACGTTCAATAATGGATAGAAAAGTAGCCATCCTTCAACAAAAGAATTTTATCACCCAATTCCAGAAGGAGACCGATGAACTAGAGTTCATTTACAAGCTCATTGCAATCAGCCTATTTCTTGAATAAAGATCTTAAGTGGTTAACACACTGGAAAGGCAATTTTCCCATCTATGATATTCACAGGTTCACATCAAATGCTGTGAACGAGACACATCTTAGCTTCCTTACCACTGGCCCTATAATTGACAGGTAACTTCTTTTGCTCATCTCACTTAAGTATGACCTGAAAAGAGTATAAGGTGGGTTTGGAGGGGAAGCGCTAGAATTTACGGAGTTAATTGACCCAAAAAAGAGGCTAACAGGCAGACAGCAATGTACCATGGGAAATTGGTGAGAAGCAATCATTAGGCATAAAGGATGGACTCCCTATTCTTGCTCATAGGGGTAGAGCATATAACTCTAATGTAGGTAAAATGGACACCTAAGTGACATACCTAGATACTTGAAACTGTTTGTGGTTAATCCATTGGGTGTTTGGGGGTGAACGTCCAAGTTAATCACTGGCAACCCTGATGGTAGGAATCCAGTGAGGTACCTGGGCACTAGCAGGGGCAATTTAACTCATTCCAGTCCCTAATATAAGACTGGGAGAGATCAAAGCCAGGACCATCAGTGAGGATTGAGACAAGATGTTGGATTTCAACATTCAGCCTAGACTGAAGCACCCATCATCAGTGCCATAATTAAGTGCATGAGGAACAGAAAGCAGGTGTGTGCGATGGCTGGCTCTGTGAAGAGAGAAAATGGATGTTCTATGTCCCATGAGTAGAGGACCTTTATTGGTATCTGTTAAGTATGGAGTACTGCTTGGGACACATTTACTGCTGGGTAACAACAGCAGTGATGTTAAGTGTCAAATATTCATTTAATATTTGCTGATAACGTTTGTTTGATTTAATTAATAAAATCACCTGCATGGTCTCTCTTACCACTTCACATGCTCTCTCTGCTTCTACAAAGATGTATAAAGAAGCAAAGATCTTTCATATTTCCATTTCCTGATTCTTAGTGCTACCTTATCTTTTCTCCTTTGTGGATTTGAACGGGAATAGTATTAATCATCAAATAATTTCTTTGACCTACATTTTATACCTCATTTGAGATAAAAAATGACCACACTCTGACATGAAAATCAAGGTCAGATAACTGCATGCAGTCGATCAGGAATGCTTTCATACAGATAGCAATGTTTGAAAAGAAGAACCAACCCCCCCCACCTGTATAAGTAGCAATATATGTTACACGTGCTTGATCCTGCTTCCTTCTGTTTGGAAGGTACCATCAGCACAAATTGTATCACAGGAATGCAATCAGGAAGCTTAACATTAAATTTCAGCACATATCTCCTGAGAACCATCACAGTGTTTCTATAGGGAAAAATCAATCTTAGATAGAAAAATAGAAAACAAACAAAAAATAATAATCCATGCAAGTGTTTTTAAAAGTTAACACATGACTCTTTTTAGTGACTGAAGGCCTGAGGTTACAGATAATGCATCATACACTTTTCCATACTCCTCATCAAACTGTATCACATCTGCCTTGGTAAACACTAGTTTCACACAGCAGAAAAGACTATTCAAATCTTCTTTACTCCCAACAGAGTCACATTCCGTAAGCAAGCAATACTGAAATATGAATCAGGACTTGACGGGGAAGAACATAATGAAAAAAGTAAACTTTCCATTTCATGTATGAGAAAATATATATTTTTAAACAATTAAGATTGTCTTCTCCATTTTCTTCAGTCTAAGTGACATACTACAACTACTTAAAGTGATAGAGTTTCTTGAAGATCTAGAATGATGTGACAAATTACAGGCTGGCCTATTTCTTGCTTTCCTATATATGTACCTGTCAAGGCTGTTCCCCACTCTGGAATGATGAATGCAGAATTTCGGGGCCTGCAAAACCTTGCCTCTACAGGCTCTGGTACAAAAACTTCCCCCCACAAAATCCTAATACCCAGATTTTGGGGGACCCACTGCCACCACCCAAGTAATTCCAAGAAAATCGGGGAAGAGATCACTTGGAAAATCCCCTCCCTAAGCTCAAGCTCACCCACCTGCCCCAACCTCCGTTTTGTTTGGAGCTGGGAAAACAGGGAATCCACAAATAACAATGGACTCTACTCTTGTAACTAGGCGCTGAGTCCTAATGACACAACAATCAACCTATACTGGTTAATTAGAAAAAAACCCCAATCTTTTATTATCAAAACAAAACTACAGTTGCAAGCATAGTAAATTGGCTAGATGGAAAGAACCACCATTTGATATAGATTCTCAGGGAAAACCCCTGGGCTGTAATGCTTAGTTACAAAAGAGGGAAAAAAAACAATTAGCAAGCTCAGACATGATTTCCAAACACCCAAACAAAGACAATAATAAACCCTGATGGACTATCTAAACTTTTCCCTACTTACACATTGTAAGAAGTCCATTCTTGGAGAGAGAAACATCTCCCATCTCCCTCAATCCCTGGGAGAAACTGCTCTGATCTCAAAGAAGAGAGAGAGAAAATCCCCTCTTTTCCAGTTTGAAATTCCTACCTGCATGGTTATAGGCTGACCTCCCGACACCTTTGCTAGGTACCTGAGTTAACCCCTTAGTTACTGGGTGCTGGTCAGCACTCCTGATTATGAGAGCATCTGTGACCATCAAGCTAACCATGCACTCTCAGACAAGTTTTTGAAATTGTAGTACCAGACAACAGAACAAAAGGTCAGATCACTAGGCCATGTTATCCAAAAAAATTGAAGGAAATTAATGTGAAAATAATTTAAGCACATAGCTGCCATTCAATTATCCAAACAGAATGAACTCTTGCAAAAAAAGTAAACATCATTCAGATATGTATTAACAGAAGCGTTGTAAGCAAGAAACAAGAAGAAATTCTTCCACTCTACTCTGCGCCGATAAGGCCTCATCTGGAGAATTGTGTCCAGCTCTGGGGAAGGTCCAGAAAAGGTCTAGAAAACACGACCTATTAGGAAAGACTGAAAGACTAACTGGATTTGTTAGTCTGGAAAAGAGAAGACTGAGAGGGACATGATAACAGCTTTCAAATGCCTAAAACATTGTTACAAGGAAGAGGGAGAAAAATTTTTCTCCTTAACCTCTGATGATATAAGAAGATACAATGGGCTTAAATTGCAGCAAGGGAGGTTTAGGTTGGACATTATGAAAAACTTCCTAACTGTGACAGTGATTAAACCTTGGAATAAATTGCCTAGGATTGTGGAATCTCCATCATTGGAGATTTTTAAGAGCAAGTTACACAACATCTGTCAGGGATGATGTAGCTGGTGCTTGGTACTGCTATGTGTGTAGGGATCTGGACTTGATGACCTCTTGAGGTTCTTCCAGGTCTAGTATACTATGATTCTATAAGCCAGTTCCTATGTATCCTTATTCTTGGGAGTAGACTTGATGCTAACAGTGTATTTGCAATGTGTATAAGAAATGTTCAGGGTCACATCTTGTATCAACAGAGTTTAATATCTTCTCATATTAA